CTTTCAAACCATTACATATTTTGGTGCCCAACCCTAAGACCTTGACAACTGTTACTTTATCTGGGCTGCTGTGGGATTAAGTAAGATTATTCACCTAGCTGCAAAACATTTTCAATAAACTTCCTCTTTGGTGAGAACACATAAATACACGCTATGTGCCATTTTACAGGTTTAATTAATTTTATAAATAAAGGAAAGATTTCAGAGCACATGGGATTTTAACACAAACAGTTTTGTGAGGGCTTTCCATGAAGTCTGCTGATAACTGATATAATCGAGATAATTCAGGATTTCCCTTCAGTGTTTCTTAAGCGGTTGGAAACCATCAGTAGGTACTTGTGCCTGGTAAGTTGGCTGTGGAGCTTACTCATTCATGAACACATATTAAATTAAAACATTATTGCCATGTAGAACTGCATTAGAACAGGAGGAAGCAGATACAAAGGTTAGATATTTTGCTTCCTTTTGAGTTCATGTATGCAAACAAATACAGAGTTTCTTGCCATACATCATCTTGCAGAAAGACTATATTCATTTAAATGTAATTCCTGAAAAGCAGAGTTTTTTTATCATCTTTCAATCCTTTTTGTTGTACTAGATTCTTTTCAGTGATGTCGTGGAAATCAGATGGCCTGACCCTGCTACAGCTGATCTGACAAAACATATAGACAATGGCATTGTGCAGATCTCGTCAGTTGATGGTTATGCTCACCTTTACCTGTCAGAACTGCCGCAGGAATTTACAGTGGACTTCTTGTGCAAAGTCAGCCAGTCACTTGCACCATCCTTATGGTCCTCTGCAAAGGACAGCAACTATCAAACCAGAGATCAATATGGAAAATCAAGTAAAAGTTCTATTGCAGAAATTTCATTGAAACAAACAAGAATAGCAAACAAGAAGAATGAACATGTTTGTGCTGAAGGTAAATGCAGAGAACCAACAAAACCAACACAGCAGAAAGACAGAGATGGAGTCCCTTTGTTATACAGAGATGGTTCTTTTGAATACACATGGGTTACACAGCACTGGTCTGTTTCCTCCTACCCTGAAGAATGGAAATACCCTTTGTCATTGGCACTACTGTGCTCTAACTTAAATGCTGTTCAGAATGTAACGAAGGCACGTGAAAAAAACAACCATACATCTACAGCAGCTGATGTTTTAACAGCCCCTGAAACCCATGAAACAGTTTCTCGTTTACCTACAGCTCTGCCTCTCAGCTGCAGAGCTCCACATTTACACAGGTAATTTAAGCTCTTTACTTTGCAGTTTTTAATGTATGGTTTACAGTTCTGCAATTTGGAACTTCATTCAACTGCAGCAAAATAACTGATTTCAGAAAGGCTATAACCTTTTTTTTTAACAAAGGGGTTTTTTAGGAACTTCTTGAAACATCACATTTTTGAAAATAACATTCTGTATCCTACTCTAAGGAATGTATAGTAATTAGTCCACTGGAAAACAAAATTCTGACATGCTGTGTAAATATGAAGAAGATAATACTCAAAAAATACCCACAGGTTTTGGGTTGGTTTGGGTTTTTTTTTTCATTTTTGAGAAGCTAATACTTCTGAGGTGAGCCAGTGGCATACATTCTCTGTCAGCACAACTCAAATCAGAAGAACCTTTGTGGGTTTGCAAACTGATTTAGTAACTAATGTGGATAACTAAGGCAGGGGACTCTGAAAATGCACGGGCTCTATTTCTTTGGATAGATGAGTGTGCATCTGTTTTGGTACAGACATGATTAGCAGCACCGTTGCGTGAAGAGAAAGGGGTAGGGGAAGGGGTAAGGGAGAGACAAATTCGTTAAGAGACAAATCCCCTGGCTTTCTAGCCGGTCCTCAGCTATTAGAGGGGCTGGGGGCGGCTGAACTTGTCTCTCAGTAGGCTCCAGCGAGAGGCG